TCCTCCTTTCTCTTTACCGACCATCATTATATCATCTTCCCTCCTTCCTTCCCTCCTTTCTTTTCTCCTTTTCTCCTTCCCTTCCCCCTCCCTTTCCTCTCTCCTTCCCCCCTTCTTTCTCTCATACATTCCCTCCTTCCTTCCCTCCTTCCCTCCTTCCTTTCTTTCTTTTCTCTTAGATTCCCTCCTTTCTTCCCTCCCTCCTTCCTTCCTTTCTTCTCTCCTTCCTTCCCTCCCTCCTTCCCTCCTTGCTTCCCTCCCTGCTTCCCTCCCTCCTTCCTACCCCGCTTTCTTCTCTTTCTTCTCTCCTTCCTTCTTTCCACCTCTCCTTTCCCTTCCCTTATTATTGTAAGCCGCCCTGAGTCCCCTCAGGGAAAAGGGCGGCCTATAAATGCTAAATAAAATCCAAAAAATAAATCCTTACTCTTCCTCCCCTTTAACCTCCCCCCCTTCTTCCGATTCCTCCCCTCTTTCCTACTCTTACATTCCCTCCCATTCTTCCTCTGCCCAAAAAGCAAATTCTAATCCTTCTCCCTCTTGTTTATTTAGAGCATCTCAAAAAACCCCGATGCCCTCTTCCTGGGAAAAGATTCCTTCTACCCATCCCGGAAGTATCTCTTGGAGAAACCAAACCTCACCACCAATCCTGGTAGGATGGCGACCGGATCGAAGGGGAAGAAAGTTGGGTCAATACAAAGGCCCTCGTTGGGATTATTTGGGGGTTAAGGGGATGGACTAGAACCTTGATGGCAAACCTATGGCACACATGCCAAAGGTGGCTCACAGCTCCCTCTCTGATGGCACATGAGCCGTTGCCCCAGTTCAGCTGTGCATGCATGCATGTACCTCTCGTCCAGCTGGTCTTTGCGTCTGCTGTGCATGTGCGGGGGAGGGTGTGTGCACATGCGCAGAGGCAGGGCATGTGCATGTGGGGGAGTGCACATACAGCATTTTGTGGGTTTGCGCACTCAGTCTGGAAAAGGTGAGCCATGACTGGACTAGAACAGCGTCTCTTCAACCTCAGCAGCTCTCCGACGGGTGGACTTCAACTCCCAGAATCCCCCCCAACTAGCCACGCATGGATTTGCACACGCAGCCCTTTGCACAGATGCTCAATCAATTAGAATCGTGGAAGCTGCAGGAGGCAGGGTTTAAGGCATTTTTTCATTAATTTTAGAGCAATGTTTCTCCATGTTGGTAACCTGGAGATGTGTGGACAACTCCCAGAATTCCCCAGCCAGCATTCTAGGAGATGAAATCCAGACATTTCAGGTTGCCAACATGGAGAAACGCTGCTCTAAAACGTAGACGGCCCAAGATATACGCAGGGTTTCAATTCCCCTCACCCCTCTATCCGCTTGTTCCTCTTCCATAATCCTTCCGATTGGCTGAAGGAGTTGTAAAACCCCTTAAATAAATCAACAATGGGATCTTCCTCAGAAAAATCATGGCTGAGCATCTGAGAGAGGTCCACTTCAGGGGTGAGATTCAGCCGGTTCGGACCGGTTAGGGCGAACCGGATGGTAATTTTGCATCTGGTTCGTCAAACCGGTAGTTGGAAGGGCTGGCTGGCCACACCCCTCCCGGGAGGCTCCACATGGCCCGTTCATCATGAAGTGCAGGGCCCACGTGGAGTCTCGGAGGGGGGGCGGGCGTAAAATGGGCCTTCCGGAAGTTCCAGAAGTCTGGAAATGGGCCTGTTTCCGGCCTCTGGAGGGCCTCCGGAGCCCAGGGAGAGCAAAAAGGTATCCCCCACATTGTGGTGTAGGAGGCCGAGTAGGCCATGCCCCTCGACCACGCCCCCCGCAACTGGGCAGAGAACCGGTTGCTAATTTTTTTTCCAATCCCACCCCTGGTCCACTTCCTTCCTCTGGCTTTCCCAGGCTGTCCGATATTCCTATCTGTCCACCAGAACTCCAGATCCCATCGTCCCCAGCCGGCATGGTCCAGGGAAGCTATAGTTTGTGTGTGGGCGTGTTTCTCTCTCTTTGGTCTCTAGAGGAGGACGCCTCGGAAGACGAGTCGGTGAAGGACTCCATGGGCCCCGAGCAACCTTACCCGTCTCCCCAGCAGCTCCTGCAGCCGCCCAGGGAAGACTCCGCTTCCCCTCCGCTCCTCCAGCCCCTGCTGGCTCCCACGGTGGCCCCGGAGGTACTGGGGGCCTTCGCCTTTGCGTCTTCGGGGGCCAGGGTGGTGGCCAACCCCCGAGCCTGAGACTCCCCTCTCCCCACACAGATGGGTCCCCCAGGCTACAAGAGCGAGAACGGCAGCACGGGCAGCTTCCCCTCCGCCTTCTACGCCGCCCAGGGGCTGGTGCTGCCCGCCAACTCCAACGACGGGAGCCCCCCGAGCGACCCGTCGGAAGGCAGCAACCCCGGCTCAGCCGACGAGGAGCAGCTGGACACGGCGGAGATCGCTTTCCAGGTGAAGGAGCAGCTGCTGAAGCACAACATCGGCCAGCGCGTCTTCGGGCATTACGTCCTGGGCCTCTCGCAGGGCTCGGTCAGTGAGATCCTGGCGCGGCCCAAGCCCTGGCGCAAGCTGACCGTCAAAGGGAAAGAGCCCTTCATCAAGATGAAGCAGTTCCTCTCCGACGAGCAGAACGTCCTCGCGCTGAGAACTATTCAGGTGCGCCAGAGAGGTGAGTGGTCCAGGAGGGGAACCTGGGGGGGTGAGGGGCGGCGGGTGTCGCTTCAGTGCATCTCCTCCTCTCCCTCCTCCTTCTCCTCCTTCTGCTCCTCCTCCCCTCTTCCTCTTCCCTTCCTCCTCTTCCTTCTCTTTCTCCTCCTCCCCTCTTCCCCCTCCTCCTCTTTCTCCTCCTCTTCCCCCCTCCTCCTCTTCTCTTCCTCCCCTCTTTCTCCTCCTCTTCCCCCTCCTCCTCTTCCTTCTCATCTTCCTTCTCTTCTTCTCCTTCTCTTCTTTCTTCCCTCCTCCTCTCCTCCTACTCCTCCTCTGAACTCAATAAGTCCTCCCTGCCTTCCCACCTTCTCTGCGATTTCTCCTCCTTCTGCTCCTCCTCCTCTCCTCCTCCCCGCTTCCTCTTCCCCCTCTCCTCCCCCTCTTCCTCTTTTTCCCCTCCCCTCCTCCTCTTCTCTTCCTCTCCTCCCCTCTTCCTCCCCTCTTCCTCTTCCCCCTCTCCTCCTCCCCTCCTCCTCCTCTTCCTCTTCCTTCTCCTCTTCCTTCTCCTCCTCCCCGCTTCTCCCCTCCTCCTCCTCCTCTTCCTCCCCTCTTCCTCTTCCTTCTCCTCCTCCTTCTCTTCCTCCTCCTCTTCCCCACCTCCCCTCTTCCTCCTTCTCCTCTAATCCTCCTCTGAACTCAATACGTCCTCCCTGCCTTCCCACCTTCTCTGCGATTTCTTCAGCAAAGACCAACCAGCCAGGTGAGATAAAGTCACCCCCCGTTTTGGTCTCCCCGGTCTCACCCCTCTTTTCCTCCAGCCCAAGACCCAGATATCCCCCCTCCCTCGTGACAAAGAGATGATTCGCCAGGCAGGAGCTGCTGAGAAAGAGAGGCTGGTAGGGGGCTGTGCGTAATTCCTTGACTTTAGGTGCCCAGAGCTGCCCCAAATCAAACGGCGGTCTTGGCTATTCTGTCTCTTTGATCAGGAAGCATTACGCCGCGGATTAGGACTCCGGAAACCGGCTCAGACGACGCCATCAAGAGTATCTTGGAGCAGGCCAAGAAAGAGATCGAGTCCCAGAAAGGAGGTAAGGGGGCCCGTGGGGTTGGCAGAAGGCTTTGCCCCTCTGACATTTCAAATTAAGAGGCCATCGGCCAGATAGGAAGACCAGATTAACAGATTACCGACTAGGTTGCATTGAGTTCTTCTTAAACGTTGGCCGTCGCGTTGCGGCCCTAATCGGGTGCATTTTAAACATTTTCCTTACATAAATCCTTATTTCTTCTCTCCGTCTCGATGAAATAAGGAGCAATCTTTAAATATTCCAAACGTTGCAATAACTAACTCAGTTTCCTGGAGATTTAAGCTGTCGTCTGCTGCCCTCTGCCGGTTCTTTTATGTAGGAATTTGGCAATCTGCCCTGGGGCTCCTGAGGCCAAGGAAATAATGCGCTGCCCAAGCAGAGGCCGCCCATAAAATTTCAAATAAAAGGCCAGAGGATGTGTTTGTGGGGAGGGGGGGGGAAGGGGGGAGGCTGTCCCTTCCAGTCAAAATTCTCTTAAATTCAAACGGACGTAACTGACAGCTTTTTAGTACTTCATTTGCGTAATTGACGCCCCCTACGTCACCCGCGTCAATGCGCAAATGATTTCAATTGACTGCAGCGATGTGCAAAAGGTCAATTGCACTATTAGCCGATGGACGTCAGGGGCCCGGGCGGCTTTGGAAACGGTGGATTCTGCCCGCTGTTTTGAAGTCTTGAACCGATGGCGCTTGGAATCGGAGGTTGGGTTGCAAGAGACACCGTAGTCTGTTCAAAGCAGCGGTGGGTTCCGGATCCCGGTGCAACCGGTACGGTTCAATGGGGCCTGGCGTCCACCACCTGAATGCGCGCGGCATGCGCGCTTACGCACACAACATGCACATGTGTCCTATCCTCCAGCGACACCGCCGCGAGCCTCCAGCTGCTCCGCAGAGTGTCTCACAGGCGCGTACATGCTACGCGTGTGCGCGGAAGCGCCAAAGAGTTCAAATACAGATAAGGACGACGGGCGGGCAGGTGGACTCTCTCCGGAGCACCGTACCGGAACAGTACCCAGTGCTCCGGGCAGGCACCGGTACGCCCGTCGTACCGGGGCGTATCGCCTGCAACCCACCACTGGTTCATAGGATCAGAATTATCTGGAGGGGGGGGGGAAGACCAGTGGTGAAATGTAAAAAAATTTTTTGCCACTGGTTGTCTGGGCGTGGCGTGGTGGGTGTGGCTTGGTGGGGGGATCATGTGACTGGGTGGGCGGGACCAACTTTAAAAAAAAATCAGGAAGGAGAGAAGGAGAGTAGAAAGGAAGGAAGGAAGGAGGGAAGAAAGGAGGGAAGTTAAGAGAAAAGAAAGGAAGGAGGGAAGGAGGAAAGGAAGGAGGGAAGGTATGTGAGAAGGAGGGGGGATGGAGAGAGGAAGGGGAGGGGGAAGGAAAGGAGAAAAGAAGGGAAGGAAGGAGGGAAGGAGGCAAGGGGGGAGGAAAGAGAGGGGAGTGGAAAAGAAGAAACGAGGGAAGGAAAGAGGGAGGGAGGGAAGAAGATACCTAACCTTTGATGTCTATAATGATTTTGATATTATGGGAATATCTCGAAACGTAGTTAAATGTAAAGCAAAACAGTGGTGGATGTTGTATTGTCTTTTACAAGTTATTGATTGTTGTATTTTTCTTTTACTAATGAAAATAAATAAATTATTAAAAAAAAAATTCAAAGCATTTTTTTACTATCTACGTATTCAGCCATACCGGTAGTAAAAAATGCTTTAAGTAGTGGAAAATAAGGTTCAGCTGTGCCCTGAAATTGTGGGAACCTTTCCACCCCCTCCCCCCCCACTTTTTAAAGAATGTTTTTACTACCTGTTCAGGCACCTAGGTAGTAATAAAATTCTTTAAAAAGTAAAAAAAAAAACAGTTCCAATGATCGCACAGCTCACAGCTGATTGAACCTTTTGAAAGACAGTCATGGAAAGATTTTTTAAAGCATTTTTTTCCTGCCTCTTCACCCGAACCGGCAAGGGGAAAAAACGCTTTAAAAAGTGGGGGGGAAATCTTCCGACGATCACACAGCTGAGCCGCACGATCCTTGGAAGCTTTTTTCCCTACTGGTTCACAGAACCAGGGGCCATTGTCCCTACCGGTTCACACGAAGCATTTCGCCCCTGGAAAGGACCCTACTTGACCCTAAGTGTCCCATGGCCCGCCCTAAGACGCCGTGTTGTGCCTCTTGATTTTGGTTCGCGGTGACTTGGTGGAAGGCCATCCCATCTTTCTTCTCTTCTGCCCTGCTCCGTAGGGGAGGCGAAGAGCACCTGCGCGCCCCAGGCAGCCCCCAATGGCATCAGCGCCAGCAGCTCAGAAGACGCCATCAAGAACATTCTGGAACAGGCCCGCCGCGAGATGCAAGCTCAGCAGCAGGCCTTCCTGGAGATAGAATCCGGCAGCCCCAACCAACCGGTCTCCACGCCGCCTGCAGATCCCTCCCCTCTCTCCTCCTTCAGCCAGAACATCGTCCGTGCCTACATCAAGCAGGAGGAAGGGGGTGGGCTGGGCCCCAATGCCGGCGGTGGCGGCAGCTGCGGTGCGGCCCAGGCCCCTCTGGTGGCGCTCTCCCCTGCCGCCTTCGTGCAGAACATCATCCGTAAGGTCAAATCTGAGATTGGAGATTCCGGCTCCTACTTCGACCAGCACTGGGCGTCCGACAGGAACCTCCTCAACCGGCCTTTCACCTCGGTGTCCCCCTCCCTCTCGTCCTCGTCGAGCTACTCCAGCATGGCCAACGGGCGAGGGTGGCCGCGAGGTGAACCTGGGGACTCGGGCCCAAACGAGGAAGACTTGCCCACTTCGGAAGACGAACCCCATCGGGCGCTCGAAGTCAAGTCCGAAGTGGCGGGTTCAGAAGCCCAAGGGACTGGCCGCTTGTCTTACTACCCCTCCTACGTGCCAAGGACTCTCAAGCCCACCGTCCCCCCCTTGACCCCGGAACAGTACGAGATGTACATGTACAAGGAAGTGGACACCTTGGAACTCACACGGCAAGTCAAGGAGAAGTTGGCCAAGAACGGGATCTGCCAACGCATCTTTGGGGAGAAGGTAGCTCAACCGTCAGTCGCGAGGAAGCCGGGTTGGCTGGCTTGAGAAGGGAGGTCAACAGGGTGCTTCCAGACAAGGTTGTTATCATGCAGAGATGGGCTAGAAGACACCAAAACCTTCACCTCACCCTCTTTCTTGGCAGGGGGGAAATGGCTAAGGAAAGGAAAAAAAAATATTGGTAGGGGGTCGCTTGTTGGTTTGTTTTTAAGATCGGTTGTGCTGGAGCAAACGGTTCACCGACAAATGCGCGCTTGACAAAAGTGCGCCGACGAAACCGCGGTGAGAAAACCGCGAGTTCTAAATCGTGCCGGCGAATGAGCGCAGAAGCGCACCGACAACAGCGCTCCGACAAAAGCGCGCCGATGAAACCGCAGTGAGAAAACCGCAACGTCATAAACGCGCCCACAACAACGCGCCGACAAAACCGCACCCACAAAAGCGCAATTTCAGTTAAGGTAAGGGTTAGGTTCGGGGATAGGTTTAGGGTTAGGTTTAAAGTTAGGTTTAGGGTTAGGTTTAGGGTTAGGTTTAAAGTTAGGTTTAGGGTTAGGTTTAGGGTTAA